CTGGTTGTTCCAGCGGGCAGGACTGGCCTAGGGGTATTTTAAATTGGTTTTAGCCAAATTTTAGTAGAAGCAGCCGATTATATATTTATTTTTAATGATTTTTTAAAACTTCTATTGTATTGTATTAAATTGTTTTTAACTGGCTGTAAGCCGCCCTGAGTCCTACGGGAGAAGGGCGGGGTATAAATTTAATAAAATGAAAATGAAATGAAAATGAATACTGCTATCATGTCACCCCTAGTTCTTCTTTTCTCTAGACTGGCCCTAGTCCTTCTTTTCTCTAGATTGGCCATACTCAATTCCTGCAACAATAAAAAAAGAAATTTTGAATACTATTACCCAGATAACAAATTGCATTAAAAATATTTTTTGCCTACTTTTTGGCTTTAGTCCAGGAAAACTCAAAATGCGAATTACTTTTTAAAGAAATTAACGAATTAATTATATAACCCAGTGTTATTTTAACATTGGCAGCTTGAAGACATGTGGACTTCAAATCCCTGAATTCCCAAGTTAGCTTCTAGGGTAACGGAAGAACCAAACCAAAATCCTTCTTTTCACTATTGTGTTACGGGCCTAAATCATACACAGTTTGGTACTGTTGTTTTCCACTAAATGAAACACTTGCAGTGGATCTTGGGATCATGGTTTTTTCTTTCCCTTCCTCACATTTCATATTTGTGTAGCTCTTATGCTAGGTAGTCTGATTCCTCAGGGGATCTTCCAGTAGAATTCCTTTAACTTCTCTCTAAATCTCTGTAAACAAGCCTGCTGCCTACTGTCCAACCAGTTAGGGGAGAATTAATGGATGACTTCTGTCACATTCTCCCATGAAGAAAAATATGTCTGTAGTCATGAGTGGACAAGAACAGCTTGCATTAAGAAAGAAATAATCGCCATGCATACATGCACCCATGCATATTGCATAGACACAAGAAGACCTTTAAACAGCAGTAGCTACTGAATTCAATGAAAATTAATCCCTCAGTGAATCCTCTCAAAGATTTCTCCCTCCTTCCCTCTTTCTTCCCCCATTTTCCTTGGTAAAGAAGATTGCAGCCATGCTACCTCCATAGGTTTCATGCAGCACTGTGTCTTACTCTTTCCTTAGATGGTTCATTCTTCGACTTCTTCTATCCTGGCCTGCCTGAATACAGTCAGCTTCTCTTCCTCTTGGTCATGATCATCCCACAGTTGAAACTCAAGGGCTTTTCAGACTGTATCCACATTGCCAACCAATCCAAATTTTTGAACTCCCAAAATTATTTATTCCTTCTCCTCTTTTTCCTGCTTCTCTGTTCAGGCAAACTTCCACTTCTCTTTTTTTTTTCCCCTGCTTATTTGTCTGGGTGTACCTATCCACGTGAAGTGACTTGCACCCAGATTCCTCTAGGTATATCTTTTCCAAATTCTGAGTTTTATTTCTTCCCTCTCTAATCTTTTGTACAACCTTCTCTCTCCTGGAGATCCTTGTGGACTCCATTGTATGTGCCAATGGTCCCTGAACTTTCCCCACAATTGATTAACATTTTATCCTGTTCCTTTGTTTCTGGTTACTTTATCAATTGCAGATGAATACAGTCACACCCTTAGCACTTCAGTTAACTTATTTCTTTCTCCAAGTAAATCTCCTGATACTATGCATCAGACTTACTTATTTCCCAGTGCTACTGCAACTTTCTGGATTACTTTTGTAGCAAAGTTTTCTTTTGTGATTTTTACAATCAGTTTCTAGACAGCCAAAGGAGCAGCTGTATGTTGAAAAGATAATAACAATATGAATAATTCAAGCTTTGTTTCTACAAAACACTGTTCTCCAATTCTGGGTGTCCTGGGAAACTGTGTGGGGGCATTTTTTATGGAAACACATATGTGTCACCTCATTCTTTAAAAATAAACAAGTACTATATATAAATCTTGTTCTTATAGCAAGTTACATCTTGAATGAACTTCTCTTTAAATAGCTATATGTGTAAATGAGAAACCATCTAGAAACGCAGGACCACAGATTCAGCTGGAGAAAGTAATCCTCAAAGAAGGCCATGGAAAACCACTCCCAAGAAAATAATCAGGAGATTCATGTACTTACCTGAAGACAAGCTCATTAATTTTCTCTCTCTCTTCTCCCATAATAGCACTCTTTTTGTATGTATGAATGTAATGTGTTTCATTTTATATTTGCAGCCAAGGATACTAGGAATGCTGTACTTAACTTAGTGAATCTCCAGAAAGATAGATCATTCTTTCCTCTCTGGCATTTTATTGAACTAGATGTAGGAATATAAAAATTTGCAGGAAATACACCTAAGTAACTCAGTGATCTGTATCATTTTCACAGCCTGTATTATTTGGCAAGTAACTAAGAACATAGCTAAGGAAAGTTAGACTCTCCTGTCTAACTGTTCCTTGGAATAATACTTTCTGCTACAAACACAGTACTTTCATAGAGACAATTTTCCATTCTTTGCAAACTTCTGGCTCCAATACTTAGCATCTCTCTAATATGTTGAAATGATGACTAATAATAAAATGTAAAATAGGAGTCTACATAAGAATTAAAGTGCATAGTTCAATTATTTGTCATGCTCCACCCCCTCACAAAATCTTGGTTTCTTACATATATCCAAAGGATACATGCTGGCAACCTTCCCTTAAGCTCTCAGAGCAAAGAAATATGTACCGTATATGTTACTTATGTCATGTTCCCATGCAGTGGATTTTACATGGCTTCCATCACCATCCTTCTGGGAATTTTATAGTCATGATTTAGTATGCAGGACAGAGATTCCTGGCTTGATCTAAATCTTTTGGCCTTTAAAATGCATATATGGCTTTGTTTGATTAATAGTGTGTGAATCATAAGTTTATATTTGTTATGTGGGTGTATTATTTGCAAAATTAATGTTCACCATAGAAAGAACTCTATAGATAGCAGCCACCTTAACTTAGATGTGAACTTGGCTGACAGGTATGTTCAAATGCTTTTAAATGTTATTAAAAAGCTTATGTTCATGTTAGTTGAACCAAAATTATTTGCTACATACCGTATATAAGTATGCATGAGGATTCATTTAAAAGAATTGGTTTCATTCATAAAGCAAACAGGACAGTTCAGTTAGATTTAATACTTTTCTGAGATTTCTAAATTTTTGGACGGCATGAAAAAAAAACTAGAAACATACCCACCCTACTACTTCCTATCAGATTAAGCAATGCTATGCATAGTATAGAAAATGAGTAAGAAATGGTACCATTCACTATTTGATTTTGAATGTGTATTTATTCCATACGCATGGAATAAATACAAAATAAGTACTGCTCCCATTCAGCCATCTAGAGGCTGACTAATATGTAGTAGTCCACTGAATGGCAATACACTGGCAAAAATGAGTTGTTGTTTTTTATGAGATAATTATCTTCTTGGGATTTTTCAAGTAAAGAGCTATTTTTCCCCTTGTGGTGGAAGTTAGGTGAGAAGAGGGGAGGGAAGAGCAGAGGAGAGGAGTATGTTATCTGTATGGGTATCTGAAGTAGCAGAAAAATAAGATTTTAAAAAAGCAAACCTAGATCTATGGTATCATAGGGAATGGAAAAATATCAAGGAGAGCCATTTGACAAAAGATAAAGCATGTGTCTCTCCCATAACTTAAACTAAACTGAAACTTTCCTATAGGCAATCTAAAAAAAAGCTGTTTTGGGAATTATTGTGAGAGACTGTCACAGTAGAGAAGAATCCAAGTGCTCAGGCATAATTGTAGTATTTTTAGTATTTTCAGCTTACCCTGTGCTACACGTCAAGATTAGGATACACAGCAATGTGCTGAGCAGAGCCCAGAGCTTCTAAAAATAAACCTCGCTTTATGCAATTGAAATTAAAACACAAGAGAAAGCTAGGTAAAGGGCGGTGGCGGACTGCATAAGACTCTGATTCTTTCTTTACAGGTTTGGTCAGGGAAAAAAGTTAACACTAAGAAAAGTTTCTCGTGCTTTGCAAGGCTAAAATAAAGGAGAAGCGTAGAGCAGTCTTGAAGTAAAAATAGTGTCTACATTTGTTGCAGAAATGATTGGCTTTAGCTTTCCAAATGCAAAACATGCCAGTCCCCTGTGTTTGGCGCAGAGGCACGATAGTATGTGGGGAGGCTTTCATGCAAAACACATGTGTTTTCAATTGCTATCTGGAGCCAGACCAGTAGCTGTAACTTGGCCTGACAAAGCTTCATTGAAGTAAAAGACAGAGTGTGGTTTCAAAGCAGTTAGAGAAAGAAGGGGAATGCTGTTCAGGAAATTCTTCGGGCTGGGCAGGGACTTGGCCACGGTTCTGCTGCTGGAAAATCTGACAGGGGCAGCTTCTGAACCCAGGGTAGGCCTGGCGCTCCTCTGAAAGCAACAGGGCACCTTCCCCTCTTTCCTTCTCTTTGGCATATCCCGGATTTTGTTTTGAGCTTTGGGCTTCCCGCCAGAAGAGGTAAGAGGCTTTTTGTTCTTTCTTAATACAGCTTTACTCGGCATTGCTGCTCTTTTGTTTTACAAGAATAGGGACTCATCGGGGCGCTCACTTAATGGAGAAAGAAGTTGGAGATCTACCACTACATTTGGAGAGAGATTGTCTGATTATCTTTCCAACTTCTACTGAAGTTTTTGCAGAGAGGGCGGGTGGGGGGGTGGCATTCTCTTTAAGTCGGCATGCATATTTGTCAAACCTTTCCCCCAACAGTACATAATACTGTTTTTAAAGTTTACATAATGGTGTGTATGGATGAGCTAGAAAAAGTTGGACAATTCTGCTTATTATATAGAATACGGGATCAGCTAGTATGTTTCAGAAATTGCTATCAGTGCAGCTACAATATTCAGACATAGCTATTTTACAAAGAGACTATGAGGCAAAGGCTGAGTAGTCTGGAGCATTTTTAACTAAGCAGTACATTTGTAAATCACAAGACAAGAATGCTACAATCCTATTTATCTTTCTGTGGTTAACCAGAACTGGGGCAAAATAATACAATTATTTATAATAGAATCGCACTATCATATAATTCAAGAAAGTTTCAGAGAAAATTTTTTTTCCTCCAAGCCACTCCATTCAACACCACCTGCTACTTTTCGTTTCATGAGATGTTTTGCTAAATAAATATTTCCTGAACACATTATTTTAAAAGTCGGTCTTCTCTCCTGCAAATGAAAAGTGAATATGTGTCTTGTTACTCCATGCTCTGGTTTTGCAGCATTAAAGTTTATTGCCTTTCCTCACCAGTGACCATTAAACCTTAGCTGGCCAGTTTGCTATTTCTTTAAAAGTGGTTGCACAGCATGAAACAACTCTTTCATTTTTTGTTTGTCTAGGCTTAGACTACAGTAGCAGAAAAGTTTATTTTTCTTCTGCCCTGAGCATATCCCTTGCTCTGCTTTGTCTTAAGTGGCAAAGCTGTATTAAAATAAAAAAAAAACCTGAATTAATAATATATGGGCAGCAAAAGCCATATTTATGCATTAATTGGCAGCAGTTAAGTTGGGCTGTAGAACTATGTAACCTGTGCTGATATTAATACTGTAAGATATATGAGTGGAATGAAAATCCAGAATAGAGAGGTATAGGAGAAGGGGTTTACAGTCAACTTTTAGATAGAATAGCAAAGTTCACTATGGTACTAGATGAAGTTAAGAAACAAGTGGTCACTCCGGAATATAGTTTAAATCCTATTAAGCAATTACTATTAAGAAGTAGGTTTAAGGTAAATAATGTCTGTAGTAGATATAAATAAAGGCAGAATGTAGGTATATTTGATGGATTAATTTTAAATGAGAGGCTGGGGTCTAGATAATCAGACTATAAAATATATGGTGCTGGAGAAGATTCCTGCGAGTCCCCTGGATTGCAAGGCATTCAAACCAGTCAGTCCTACAAGAGATCAACCCCGACTGCTCTTTATAAGGCCAGATCCTGAAGTTGAAACTCAAATACTTTGGCCACCTAATGAGAAGGAAGGACTCACTGGAGAAGAGGCTAATGCTGGAAAAGATTGAGGGCAATAGAAGAATGGGATGACAGAGAATGAGGTGGCTGGATGGAGTCACTGAAACAGTAGGCATGAACTTAAATGGACTCCAGAAGATGGTAGAGGACAGGAAGACCTGGAGGAACATTGTCCATGGGGTCGCGATGGGTCGGACATGACTTCGCAACTAACAACAACAATAAAATAAACCAAGCAAAATACATTAATCAAATCAAATGGAGGCAAAAGAATATCTATAAATTATGTAGAATTGATTTTTTTTTCATGGTAAAGAAATTCAGATTTCAAGAAACCTGGCTGCTTTGATGGCTGGGCTGGATATTAAACAGGCCAAGCAATAATACAAAATATAAGAAAAGAAAGCAATTTCAGGACAATGACTCTATATCATTCTAGAAGGGTTTGCTAGTCCTAAATTTAATTCTATCATGCCAGATTATACTTGTCCTGATCCTGCTGGTCTGATTTTTGCCTGGGGCCCTGGTTGTATGTATGAACCTGTTTCTTGGTCATAGTCATATTGAAGATGTGGTGTCATCTTCAATACTGCTACTGTTTAATGTTATTTATGTTGTTTCACATTTTTGTTGAGTTTTTTATTACTCCTTTTTATTCCAATTTAATTATAGGTAGTCCTTAACGTACAACCGCAATCGAACCCCAAATTTATGTCACTAAGCGAGACAGTTGTTAAGTGAGTTTTGCCCCATTTTGCGACCAATCTTGTCATAGTTTTTAAGTGAAAGAGTGCAGTTGTTAAATTAGTAACACGCTTGTTAAGTTAATCTGGCTTTCCCATTGACTTGTTAGAAGGTTGCAGAAGGGGATCACATGACCCTAAGACACTGCAACCATTATAAATATGACCCAGTTGTCAAGTGTCCAAATTCTGATCACGTGACCATGGGGATGCTGCAACGGTCCTAAGTGGGAAAACTGGTCATAAGTCACTTTTTTCAGTTCCATTATACCTTTGAACGGTCACTAAATGAACTGTTGTAAATTGAGGACTACTTGTATTAGTCACCCAAAATCATGCAGCCTTATAAATGTATTAAGCAGTTAAATAAATAAATATTTTGCCTTGGTTGTCTTTTCTGTAGGCTAAACTTATCCAGACTCTCATAGGGTTTACTTTCCAGATCCCTTGCCATCTTGATAGTCCTCTGAACTCACTCTGGTTTGTCCTTTTTCAAGTGGGATCTGAATAGAGAAGAATAGAGTGGAACAAAAGCTTCCCAACATCTGGACTCTGTTCCACTTCCAACCTTATGAGTCTGTGTGTGCAGAGCAAGGGGAGATGGCCATGGCTGAGATGAGAATTAATGTTCTGCTGGCCCCATTCCTAAAGGGGCATCTGGTGCCGTTTGGAGTCTTCCTAGCATTATATTACAGAACGGTGAACAACGTTTGTCACTTTATATATGGCAGAAAATCATAGCCAGATCCATATCTATGATGTCACACTTACACTTGTCAAAAACAATGGAGTGCACATTTGTGTTTACATATAAGAATGTAAAACATGAAAATACTTTTGTAGTGCATCAAATTCAAACATGCACATTTCTGTAGTGCACGATAAAAACCAGGTAGGCAGAATAAAATTTAGTTTAATAACCTTAATTCTCTCTGTGAACAGACAGATCTCATGAATCAGAGATATTGAACTACTCACAGTCAGTTTAACAATCAGTACCCCCCATCTCACCCTATTTCTTTTTGGTGATCTCTGAAATGGTTTGTCACCAAACCTATTTTCATAGAATAGTTTATAATGCTTTAAAGTCACTAAAAAGCCTGGGATTTTCTTTCTTTCTTTCTTTCTTTCTTTCTTTCTTTCTTTCTTTCTTTCTTTCTTTCTTTCTTTCTTTCTTTCTTTCTTTCTTTCTTTCTTTCTTTCTTTCTTTCTTCTCCTCCCCTCCTCCTCCTCCTGCTGCTTACACAATAGATATACAGTATTTTGGATGTGACTCCACATGATATATACATACGAACTTTCCAGCACTTCCTTCTGAAAAACATCCTTCTATGGTTTGACTTCTTACTCCCTCCTCGCTCCCTCCCTCCCTCTCTCCCTCTTTAGACATGCAAGGATATTCAGCAAATTTGGTGATAACTACAGTAATTCCAAGAGCAAATTGTATACTTTGTAGTTGTTGTTTTTTTGTTACTGTTGTTTTTAGCTTAAGAATCCCAGTTCATTGACACTGACACCAGGTTCTACAGTCAGGAAAAAAAATGATTTCAATATTATGGAACAGGAAATCAAAAAGAAAATAGAAGGTGATAAAAGAAGACCCCAGAGAAATACTTTTTGAATTAAAAATAATAATTCTGAACTATAGAATCTGATGTTTCTTTCATTTCTGATATTTTTCAAATGTACTGTATTTAAATTATGGCAGAGATGAAATACAAAGATGAATACAGAGGTGAATACATTTGACTATAGTCTGACTGTATATGTATTTTTTAAAATCAAAACTAAATAGCGCATGGATGTCAAAATGTGTTATGAATTATGAAGTAGATAAAACTTCACTGACAATGAGGGCTATTTTTAGTACTGTATTTCAAATAATTAAACTGTTATGGAAACCTATACACACTTGGTGGTTGCTATTTGATACCAGAGGGACCTTCTTTAAATTCAGCAGGGCAATTTTAAAACACCATGTGTTTTACTCCAAAATATCTTTCCAGAATAAAAAAAAATACAAAGTATAAATAAAATGCCCGTGAATAATTTTTAAACCAAGTACCTTTTCATACAATATACCCAGAAGAGAAATCAAAATCAGTCAGAATATATGAAAAGTCATATATGTTGTTTTCTTGCTGATTTCATTACAATCTGTCTTTTCAGGCAGCAAAAATACATAAAATTTGGAGCAGCCCACTTAATATTATAATATAACTTTTAAAGGCATATTTTTAAACTTCACATTGCACTGTACTTTCCTGCAGTAAAATATTTCTGCATATAATCAAGAATGATGGGAAAACTCTTCCATACAGCACAACACATTTCTTTTATGATTTGGAATCTGTCTTATTATGTTGTAAAGGGTCTTATATCTGCCTATAGCCATTTTCATGAGAGGCTTTCCCATTAGAGGAAAAACAGAGTTTACTTATCTAGTTAAGATGGCCATAAGCTGAATTTCACTCCCTTTGGAATTCAAGAATCTTATTTATGAAGCCTTATGTGCAGTTTAAAATATCTGTACGGTTAACTTCTTAAAAGGAGAGAGGGAATTTTTCCAGTCCATTTGTTCTTGTCACATTTTTATCATTTTCATTTTGCATTAGCTTTTCATGCCCCCCTACATCCCATCAAATTGTCATGTGATATTTCTGTAGGAGTAAACAAGGTTCTTTCTGTGCCTATCACGTTCTGATTACAACTCTAGGAAGAAAGTGGGAATCTCAAGAAAAAAAAAAT